TGTCCCGCTCGCTGGGATCTGGCCCCTCCGCGCCCCCCCGAGAGCTGCGCACCAGAGGTCGCCCGTGCCCACGGGGCCACTCCCCGCGTGCTGCCCACAGGAGGCGGGCTCCCCGGCGAACTTCCGCCTGGGGATCAGCCTGGCGGGCCTGGCGCCGGCGCCCGCGCCTGCAGGCGCGGGGCTCCCCTCCCACGTCTGGGCGTCGCGGCGTCGTCGAGCGGTTGGGCGAGGCGCGGTGCTCCCCCTCCTCCTCCTCTTCCTCCTCCTCCTCCTTTTCCTCCTCCTCCTCCTCCTTCTCCTGCTCCTCCTCCTCCTCCTCCTGCTCCTCCGCCTCCTCCTCTTCCTCTTCCTCCTCCTCCTCCTCCTCCTCCTCCTCCTCCTCCTCTTCCTCTTCCTCCTCCTCGTCCTGCTCCTCCTTCTCAGGGTGCTTCAGCCAGCGCCACAGGGAGTTTGTTTCACGCGCGTCATGCCCCCCCTTCCCCCTTCTCCCCCCACCCCCGCACAACGCAACGCTCTCTCCCTGGTGCGTCATCGGCACTGCCGCGGTGCGTCTGATTTGGCGTCGGTCAGCGCCGATGTGCGTCGATTAGCGTCGGTCAGAGTCGACCCACAAGAGCCAGCAAGGCCCCCATTAGTGCCACAGAACCATGGGAAGGCGCACGAGGGGAGGCGTGGGCAGGATGAGGCGGCCGCGGTGCAGGAGGATGCGGAGAAGGAGGAGCGGAAGGAGGCCAGCACGCACAGATGACAGGGGTAGTGTTCGCCAGGATAAGCGCGCGTATTGACAGGACTCTCCCCGCCGCGCCTCGAAGTGCCCGCGCCGACCCCGGCTGTCCTTCCGCCGCCTCCGCCTCCTCCTCCTCGCTCCCATCCCCCGCAGTGCGGACCCTCAGTCCAAATCTCTTGGTGCGAGGGGGGGGGGCGGGACACGGCCAAGTCCCACCCCGCGCTTCACAGTTGCCGCCCTCGCGCGGTGCGCCATCGGTTGCGGTGGCAAGAGGTGGTGCGGGAGGTTCTGACGTTTCTGTGTGCCCCCTTCCTCATCCTCCTCCACGCATCCGTGCGCGCTTTCCTTCGCCCACCATCTTGCATTTGGGGCACATCTGTCGAACTGCCGCGCGGGTGGTAACAAGGAGTCAGCTCCAGGAGCAGTAGGTGACTGAGAAGACGCACGAACACGGTATGTTTGACCTTTTGTCTTGGCCTGGAAGGTAGTTCCTCTTGTGTGAGCCCCAGTCGTCCAGATATTGCAACGTAATCAACCCTCTGCCTTCGGAGTCTCAAGCTGGCGCGCTCGCTAGGTAAGGTTGGGGGATTCGGTTTGGGGTTTCTTGCCGACGCGTCTGGTTGCTCATGTTTTCTGTGTTCCATGTGATGCCGCCACTGTGCTACGCGCAGCTGCTATCGAGTGCTCTGGTCTTTGTCCACGCTGACGATTGGACTGGGTTTGTCCACTGTCTGGTCTCTGGGCGATGGAATTGGCGGCGATGTTCATCAGGATACGTGTCGACGAGCAGGCTGTCGTGAAATGAGCGCACTGCAGCCTGTCGTGCGATGAGCGCACGGTGCTCCGAATCCTGAGCGCGTGCAGTCCCGCAGACGTACGTTCACAGGCTCACGCTAAGAAGGGGCGGATTCAGCAGACGAGCGCGAGGTGATGGGGACGAGGGGGACAACCTGAACAGAAGTTCCTGGGCCTGTGAGTTTCAGATCCACCCCTGACTTCCCCAGGGCCTCGTTTCTGATCTAGCGCTGCTCATTCGGTGGCTACGAAGGGCATGGTTACGCTGGGGTGTGGCTTGCGATCGGCGCCGATGGGGCTTGGGGAGAACGACACGGTCCTCGTCGGGCCTCCTCGGGGCGCGGCGGAGAGCTCTGTCGAGGTCCGCGACGACGACGAACACCTGAAGGGGCAATATCCGTCTCAAAGCTTGAAGATGCTCTAGGACTCGAGGTCCGCGAGGAGGAGGAGGAGGAGGAGGAGGAGGAGGGGGAGGAGGAGGAGGAGGAGGAGGGGGAGGAGGAGGAGGAGGAGGAGGAGGAGGAGGAGGAGGAGGAGGAGGAGGGAGGAGGAGCAGGAGGAGGAGGAGGAGGAGGGGAAGGGCCTGAGGAGAGGAGGAGGAGGAGGAGGAGGAGGAGGAGGAGGAGGAGGATGGCAGCAGCCTGGCTCGGGGGCCGATCTGGCCCGAGAGCGCGAGGGCCCCCTCCGGGGGAGGGGAGGACGGAGGCGCTCCGAGGCCCGCCCCGCCGCGCAGGCTCCGGGCGGCGGAAGTCGCAGGTGACGGCGTCCAGCCTCGGCCTGGGCGGGGTGGCGGACGCTTCCGGCAGGCAGCGGCGGAAGTCGCTGGTGGCCCCGTCGAGCGGCTCGCTGGTGGGCGTGCCGAGCTCGCCTCGGAGAGCCCAGATCTATACAGCTCGGAGGAGCAGCTCAGAGCTCGGCGACGCACGAGGGGGGGGGGGAGGCCCGGAGGAGGAGGCGGCCTTCCCGGAGGGCGGCCGGACTTCTCAGAAGCCCTCGCGCGCCTTAGAAGTGGTTTGTCGTCTCCGGGGAAGGCTCAGAAAGCTCCTCGGAGGGCCGGGGGACTTCCGAGCCTGTTGAGGAGGCCTTCTCCTTCTCGCTTCCCGTCCTCGCTCGCCGCCGATTCGCTGCCCTGATACGCCCGTTTTTGAAACGCAGCACGTGCCGTACAGTCGGACCGAGGTATACAATCGAGGTCGGTTCGGGGAGGGCGCCCGAGTGCTCTACGTGTATTTTGGATGCTCTGGGGCGTCCTGGGGGAGGGTCCCCCGGTCCCCCGGGATGTTCTGTGTGTTTTGGCCGGCGGTGGGTCTCCCGTGCTTGAAGGGTGCTCCTCTGGCTTAGGCTCGGACTGTAGTCGAGGCGTCCGTGTTAACACGCTGCATGTTGGCTCGGCGCGTGCTGGCCCACGTTTTGGCGAGCGTGTCGCGCCAGCCCTGCGTTTCCGATCTGCGGGTTGAGTTCCGTGTCAACACGCTACGGGTTGCGTGCTGCGTTTGCGTATTGGGCCGGCGAAGCGGAGGAGGAGGAGGAGGAGGAGGAGGAGGAGGAGGAGGAGGAGGAGGAGGACCCATACCACTACCCTTGGTCTGGTTTCCCCTTTTCCGTCTCTTGGAGGGCCCTCGTCGGCACCGTCGGATTCGCCTCGAAATCCTGGTCAGAACGCACCCCAGGAGAGGTCTGGGGAGGAGTGGCATCTCACCGAGCGCGTTGCACTACTCGCAGAGTGCCTATGCTCGCCTCGATGCAATGAGTAATGGATCGTAAGCTTCCGCGGCGGATCTAGGCCATTTGCGAGTCTAGTTCTGCGAGTCGTGGAAAACGTCTGTCTAGTACCGGTACCTGTTGATCTCACCAAGATCTCCCGGCAGGAGGAGAGGGGAGAGGAAGAGGAGGAGGAGGAGGAGGAGGAGGAGGAGGAGGAGGAGGGGGAGGAGGAGGAGGAGATGGAGGAGGCGGAGGAGGAGGCGGAGAAGGAGGAGGCGGATAGGAGGAGAAAGGAGGAGGAGGAGGCGGAGGAGGAGGAGGAGGAGGAGGGGAGGACGATAACGATGAGTAAGACATCGGATCCAGAAACGTGGAGGAGGAGGAATGGAGGAGGGCGAGGAGGAGGAGGAGGAGGAATAGGACTCCGTAGCAATTTTGGCTCAAGTCCGTAGCGCTTGCTCTGGACAAGAGTTTTGTGGCAGGGGGGTTTCACGGCCCCAAGAGCTTTTGGTGGTATTGTACTGCGGCTTGCCGCGCTGTCTCTATCACTAAGACACATCGTTTTCCAGCACCCATTACAGTGCGCCGATGGTTCCTTCTCCGTCTCTTTCTCCTCCTCGCGTATGGAAATGTGTGGGATGCGAGTGCGCCCGAAACAAATGGCACTGGGACTGGTTTAAACGTTGTGGCAAGAACTGGAAGGATTACACGATCTCTTACAAGGACTGACCACGGCCCGCACTGCTCGGCTCAAAACCATGTTTGAGGAAACCACACAGAACCTGTTCGGTGCAGTCAAAGAGCGAGAGGAGCAGCTACGTGCGGGAGAAAGGTGGGATATGAAGGAGGAGGTCAGCCTGGGGGCGGTGACAAGGATGGAGGAGCAGGGGACCATGCACCAGGAGCAGCAGCAGCGGAACCTGAAGTAGCGGCGGGGGCCTCGTCTTCAGGATCGTCGCAATCGCAGTCGCAGGAGTCGGTCCAGAAAGAACAAAAAGAACTTGGCCGCAGATCCGATGTCCAAGAGATCCTCAGGAACGGTCCGAAGCCGCCCCATCCGTTCGACAAAGGCGGGGGGAAAAGCAACTCGGGTCTTTGATGATCCCCCAGAAGCCCAAGGAGCTCCCCCCGAATATCCCGATCGTCGATGTGGAAAAAAAGAGTCAAAGGAGAAGGCTTGGAGGTTATCACAGTCGACGGGTCTTCTTGGATTACCGTGGAGTCTGTGTTGCCGCAAGTTTCTGCTTCCATCATTCTGGTTCAAGAGCACAGGTTGTTACCGAGTCGGTTCTTGCAGGTGAAAGTCCCACTGCACAAGAAAGGTTGGCAGCTGTTCGGTGGCCCCGCAGGCAGAAACGAGCAGGGCAGAGCGCCGGCAGGTGTGTTGATACTGGCCAGATGTCACATGACACGAGGGGCTCCTGACACAGGAGTCTTCCCAGGTGCTGGCGCCAGGGCAGCACGTTTCTTCGTGCGTACTCTCGAGCTCGGCTTGTTCATGGCTGCAACGTGCTATTTACATGTGGGAGAAGGCATGACCCCTCGCAACTCCAAGATCGCATGTCAGTTGGGATATCAAACGTTTCAATGTCGAGCTCCCAACTTGGTAGGAGGAGATTTGAACAACTCCCCTGCAGCTATCGACGCAGTGCCCCCCCCCCCTGAGAATAGTAGGGGGCGTCGCGCGAGGCGACCGTGATGCACCATCGCATGGCATCGACGGCTGCGGATCCACGATTGATTTCTTTCTGTTGGGGAATGCGGTGGCAGATGCACGTGTCCTGGTGGATGTACCAACTGACCCGCATAGGCCTGCGGTTCAAACCTTCGCCTGGTGCCGAGTACTCGAGAGTGCCCGAGCAGTGCCATTAGCCGCTAGGGAGGCGCGCCACTGGACCGATGCCAGGGCTTGTAGGCGAAAGATACGCCGACATGATCGAAAGTTGGACAACCTATTTTCCACCTTGGGCACGGCACCCCATGAGCAGCAACGTTCACTACATAGGGAGCTACGTCAGAAAACCGCAGAGGTTTTGAACGAGGTACACGATCAACGGAATGACTTTGCTGGGCAGGATGTCTTGACGCTCGCGGGATCTGCTGCCCTGGATTTGCATGGGGCGCTGAGCCTGAGTGGGCCCTGAAACTCCACAGGAGAGTTTAACCCGCGCGCTCGTGCCATAAGCTCGACCCACAGCGTGCGCTCTCATGGGCAACCCACCGACTTCGAGGGATCAGTGCGCTTTCATGGAGGGCGAGACTACGAGATGCTGGCATGAACTCGAGAGGGACCTGGTGAAGCTGTCCAACTGGATGGAGGGTCAATTTTGGTGTTGTTGGAAGGATGGCGGCATTGCGTGGGCCTCGATCCTCAGCAGCGTTGGCAGTTTTATCAACGCGAGCCACGGTTTTGGGATGGTTTGGCTGCAGGAAGTGTTGGACTTCGCGCAGCACATTCATGGCGAGATTCGGGTACCCACCCCTCAGATTCGCTCTCGTGCATGGAAGCAGTGGCGCTGCGAAGCCATGGGCAACGGTGCCGGAGCAGCCGTGGATAGCTGGAGGACCAGGCGATACCCCGCATGCCGAAGTTCGAGGGTCACGCGGGGGACTGCCTTGCGCGCGTGTGCCAGGGTGCTAGTTTACAAGCGGGACGTGGCCATGGGAGCAGGGGGTGGCAATGTGGCCCTATCGCTTGTGAATCACAGTGGGCGGCTGGGTTCGAATTTCGCGCGCGCCAACATTGCTCTCCATTGGATGACCATGCCCCCGCTGTCTTCGGTAAGGTGCTTCTTCTCATGAAAGTGGTTGGTGACGCCCCCATTGCCATTCAATGTCTCCAACTTGCGCACGCGCAGCTGGCGGTCGCATCCCCCTTGGCTTCTACCCGGCTCCGATGAGGATCAGCGGGAGATTTGGCAAGAGGAGACTCAGGCAATTGGAAATGAAGCATGGACTTGGCCCAGGTTTCTCCATGGGACAGCATCGCGGCCCAGGGGGTACAGCGCGGCGGCGAGCTGCGTCGGCAGAGGGCAGTTCGAACGCGGACCAGACTTCCGCGTCTGTGAAATGGGATCGGTTACAGTTCTGCGAGCATGTGCCATTGGACCTGATCATCGCAACTGCGATACTGGTGGATTTTCCGATTGCAGTGGTGCGCCTGTTTTTGTCAACCTACGCGTGGCAGAGACTATTGAAGTGTGAGCAGATCCCTATGGGCCCCATGTGCCCAGGACGCGGCATTGTTCCTGGGAGTGCCGGCGCGACCATCGAGGCCAAGCTGGCGTTGCCACCCGCGATCGAGGAAGAGATTCGCAAAGGGTCAGGGGAAATATCCACGTTGTCGCTCTGCATTGCTGACCTGCCACAGCGCCATTGGGGGCCAGTCATGCTGGAGGCACTTAAAGAGATGAAAGGACACGTGCGTAGAGATCGGCATCGGCTACATATGGAACTGGGCCCCCTCCTTTCCATGAAAAAACCGGGGCATCGCGGCGCCGAGTGACGAGATGGCGTTGGCGAGAAGGCTCTTGGCATTGCGGTGGTCTAGGTGAGTGCACCATCGGGAACCTAGGTGTCGACTTCGCTGGGGGAAAGCGCGAGGCCCGCCCGAAGGCTCGAAGCACTCGAGCACAACGACAGAGGAAGATGACGGCCACGCGCGGGAATAATGCCAACGCGAAGTTGACTAATAAGAGCCACAAGTCGAGGCTTGCGGTCACCAATGCTGTTCCTATTGTGGTGGATGCGCCCAGTCCAGCACATTTGTTTTCGCTTCGGAGTCTCGCGGGCAAAGCATGCGCGGATTGAGCATGGGGCTGGGCCGGGCGTTGTCGAAAGTCCTGGACCCAGCGCACGGCGCCAGCTACCGCTGTGAGATATTGCGCGGAATTGTGGGCGCCGCCTCCGCCGATGGGGTGATTCGCAACATCTACATGCTGATGTACGTGGAGTTGAGCGCCTGGACAAGTTGCGCAGAGCTGCCCAGGCCAGGTTCCATCTGAACCGTGCCAAGAAGTTGTGGTTTAAAGAGAGTCGGTGCCCACTGAGTGACCTTCTTCTGCGGTGTCGAGGGGTTGGTTGGTCCCTGGGGGCCCGCCCGAGTTTCGGGATCTCAGAGTTCGCTTGCTCGATGCCGCCACCCTAGACCCCCTCT